CAGAAGCTGATCTTTGTAAATAACTGGCATCTGTTTTGGGAAAGACCCAGGATGTACCGTGCAGATGGATTCCATCCCAGCCGAATCGGAGCGGCTGTGCTGTCGGACAACATCTCCAAGACGCTACGCACCAGATGACTAGTAAGTCAAAGTCCAAATCACAGCCTTTGCGGTCCAAACTTAACTAACATGCATAGTGTGGAACATTACATAGAAACTGTGTCTATTCCTCGTTTAGTGAAGCCAAATAATAAAACTTGTGCAGGATCTAGCAAAAATCTTATTGTAATCAAACCAGAAAATTTAAATATCAGTGAACAAAAACAATTTCTAAAGCTAGGTCTTCTAAACATTAGATCGCTCACACCTAAGGCGGTTATTGTAAATGAAATGGTCACAGATAATAACTTCGATGTTCTGTGCCTTACTGAAACCTGGCTTAAACCAAATGAGTATTTCGGTCTAAACGAATCTACTCCGCCAGGATACTGTTATAAACATGAGCCTCGCCTGATCGGTCGTGGCAGCGGTGTTGCAACAATCTATAAAGATATTTTTAATATTACTCAGAAAACAGGTCACAGGTTTAATTCATTTGAAGTACTTGTGCTAAATGTTACGCTCTTAGATGTAAGAAGGAAATCCATATTATCTCTAGCCTTGGCTACTGTATATAGACCTCCAGGGCCATATGCTGAATTCCTAAAAGAGTTTGCAGACTTTCTCTCAGATCTATTGGTGAACGTCGATAATGCTGGAGATTTTAACAGACACGTAGATAATACAAATGATGCTTTAGGGGCTGCGTTTACAGACTTATTAAACTCCTTTGGGTTCAAACAAAACGACAGTGGTCCCACTCACCGTCTAAATCATACACTAGATTTAATTATATCATATGGAACCGATCCAACTGATATTGATATTATACCGCAAAGCAATGATGTCACTGATCATTACATGGTGACTTGCATAATACGTACTGCTGAAATATGTCATGTTGCGCCACGTTATAGACCAGGCAGAACAATCCTTCCAACCACTATAGATGTATTCTCAAATAGCTTACCTGATCTATCTAAGCTGCTAAGTGAACCCAAACAAACAGATGAATTAGAGGAAATGACTAGCAGTTTAAGCACCATTTTTACTAGTACATTAGATATTGTTGCACCAATTAGATTAAAAAAGGTTAGAGAGAAAACTAAAGCACCATGGTACAACAGTGCTACGCATGCTATCAAGAGAGAAACTCGCAACTTAGAGCGTAAATGGAAACAAACTAATTTAGAGGTCTTTAGAATCGCGTGGAAAGACAGTATGTCACGTTATAAAAAGGCCCTAAAAACAGCCAGGGCTGAGCATCTCCGCAAACTAATCGAAAATAACCAAAATAATCCAAGGTTTTTATTAAACACCGTGGCTAGACAAACAAATAAACAGACATCACCAGAGCAAAATATACCGTTACAGTTTAGTAGTAATGATTTTATGAATTACTTCAATGAGAAAATAGAAAGCATCCGAAACACAATTATAAATGTACAATCCTCTATGGTGTCTTATGATTCAGCTTCAATTATGGCCCCTCTAGAACAACTAAACCGCTTTACAACGATAGGACAGGAGGAGCTAAATAAACTTATCATTGCTTCTAAACCAACAACTTGTTTATTAGATCCAATACCCACTAAACTACTGAAAGAACTATTACCTGTAGTGGAAGAGCCTCTCCTCAATATTATTAACTCATCTTTATCTTTAGGCCATGTTCCAAAAATATTCAAGCTGGCAGTAATAAAACCTCTCATTAAGAAACCGCAATTAGATACAAATAACTTGGCAAATTACAGACCCATTTCAAATCTTCCATTTATGTCCAAAATACTAGAAAAAGTTGTGTCCGCTCAATTGTGCTCTTTTTTGCAAGAAAATGATATCTATGAAAAATTCCAGTCAGGATTCAGACCGCATCATAGTACAGAAACTGCGCTAGTTAAAATTACAAATGATTTACTTTTAGCTTCTGACCAAGGCCGTATCTCAATACTAGTCCTACTTGATCTTAGCGCTGCGTTCGACACTATAGATCATAAAATACTCTTGGATCGACTACAAAACTACACTGGTGTTCAGGGACAGGCATTAAGCTGGTTTAGATCGTACTTATCGGACCGTTATCATTTTGTCTGTTTAAATGGGAAAAAATCAAAGATAACGTCAGTAGACTATGGAGTACCGCAAGGATCGGTTTTAGGCCCTCTGCTATTCTCAATATATATGCTGCCACTTGGTAATATTATAAGAAAACATGGAATTAATTTCCACTGTTACGCGGACGACACTCAATTATATATTTCATCACGACCAGATGAAAACACTAACTCATCTAAAATGACAGTGTCTCAAAGATATAAAATGCTGGATGACGCGTAATTTCCTGCTATTAAATTCAGATAAAACGGAGGTATTACTTATTGGTCCAAAAAACTACTCTCAAAACCTCTCGCAATACAACTTTAATATAGACGGATGTCCTGTTACTTTATCCACTACAGTAAAAGACCTGGGTGTTATACTAGACCGCAACTTGTCTTTCAAAAATCATATTTCATATGTTACAAGAACAGCCTTTTTCCACCTTAGAAACATTGCTAAGCTACGTAACATGCTATCTATCTCTGATGCAGAAAAATTAGTTCACGCATTCATGACCTCGAGACTAGATTACTGTAATGCTTTACTAGCCGGTTGTCCTGCATCCTCAATAAACAAGCTACAGTTAGTACAAAATGCAGCTGCTAGAGTTCTTACTAGGTCAAGAAAATATGAACATATAACACCGATTTTATCATCTCTACACTGGTTACCTATTAAGTTCCGTATCAATTACAAAATACTGCTACTAACCTATAAAGCCGTAAATGGTTTAGCACCTATGTACTTAACGGACCTTCTTTCGCCCTACAATCCACCGCGTTCCTTAAGATCACTAAATTCAAGGCTTCTGGTCATTCCTAGGATATCAAAGTCCACTAAAGGAGGGAGGGCGTTCTTGCATTTAGCTCCAAAACTCTGGAATAGCCTTCCCGATACGGTCCGAGGCTCTGACTCGCTGACACAGTTTAAAACTAGATTAAAGACGCATCTCTTTAGTCAAGCATTCACATAATGCTTACTTTTTAGTCCTCTGTTATGCCATACGGAACCGTTTGCCACTGAAACGCATTTCCATGACAGTGGGGCTCGACAGCCTTAGTCAAACGGGTCGGCGCGTATGGTTGGGTTACGGAGAGTTTGTGAGATAGTGGTTTTCTAACACCGACTCCCGTATAATGGAAATCATTATGAACATCAGCTATGCTAATTATTTCCCATCTGCCTTTCTGCTGTTATCTCGGGCCACTTGTCCCGAGAAAAATGGCGTTCGTCAGGTCCAGTTTTGTCTCCACCCTCTCACGGGGATTCAGATGCCCCAACGCCTGCGATGAGAGGACCAACGCCTGTGAGGAGACAACTCAACGCCTGCGATATGTTATGGCGCCGTTTTATGCATAAACAATATTTATATTTATTATTTATATATAAACAATATAAATGTAAGCCAGAGGAGAACTGGCCCCCGACTGAGCCTGGGTTCTCCCAAGGTTTTTTCTCATTCCAATCTGATGGAGTTTTGGTTCCTTGCCACTGTCGCCTTGCTTTTGGCTTGCTTTGGGCTTGCTCAGTTGGGGTTATTTAGTGTTTAGCAATATTATTGATCTGTGTTGTACTAGTTTCATGTTATCACTGTGAAGCTGCTTTGATACAATCTGTATTGTGAAAAGCGCTATATAAATAAATGTGACTTGACTTGACACTGCCAACACATTTATGTTCAAACACCATGTAAAAGTGAATTTTCCATAATAGGTGCCCTTTAAAATGAACTAGTTCAGTTCATATTTCAAAAAGGAACTAGTTCATAGTTCTTTTTTTCCATATGTTTCTGCAAGCTTCTTTTTTATTATTAGGCTATTATTATTGCCACAGCTCATATACAACCACAGATAACAATCATTTTATCGACGGGCAAAGTTAACCTTTTAAATGATCTTACGACGCCTCCTCGCTCCTCGGTTCACAGACACTTGAATGAACGAGTTCACTTTAACGCTCATCAGGCAGTAATACAGTAGGCTACGTTCAGTTCACGTTCGCCCAAAATATGAACAAGTTCATGAACTACCGTTCATTGAACGCGTTCAGACACAACACATATTACAAGCTCAAAATGATTATTCTCACATTGTTTTAGAGCAGGGGTATCCAACACGTAGCTCGCGAGCTATCAGTAACTGTGGCCTGATTTGGTGGTGGTCGCTCGCCTTGGGCCTGTTCACATATCGCGCTCACATATTTTGCACGCTCAAGTAAGTTACGTTTCTAATGTAGGCGCGCATCAAGCCCCCAGCGCACTCATAATCGAAGCGACGCGCTCATTTTTTCCAGGCGCAGTATATTTGTACTTCGTGGTTGTCTGACAACTATTGACAACAAACCCACCGTAAGCGGTCACGAGACTATATATGGTAGCCCATAAAGGATAAAAATAATAATAAAAAAACGCGGCAAACGTTTTTGCGGCAACGACGGGCCGCATTAACATTAAACTTTAATATCAAGTAGGGGGCCACAAAATATCATCCCGCGGACCGCAAATGGCCCGCGGGCCGCAAGTTTGAGACTTCTGATCTACAACATCTATTCTGCCAAGGACAAGCATGGTCATTACTCCCCCTTTTTCATCTGCTTGGATCCTGCCTGCCACTTATGGGTGTTAATTTTAAGTTTTGTAGTTTATCAACTAATAGAAGACTAAACTGATATCAAACAATATGCCCCAGTTGATAACCAGCCATTTTAATGAGGAAGGGCTATTGTCATATTCATATCACATATTATAGTCACAGTACTGCATGCAAATACAAAATGAATTGTGAAAGGGTGAATTTACAGACCTTTGTAATTGCAGCTTCATTGTCTGCCAGACCCAGCAGGAAGATTCTAGCCTTGTCAATTTTGACAGGAACTGTACGACCTCTCCACTCAACCTCACTCATCACAGCTGCCTGTTTGGCTCTTGTCTGAGTAATCAGTGTCTTAAAGAAAGGAACAGAAACATTTTAAACATGGTAAATACACCACAGAATCCTCCAACCAATTTTCTAAAATACAGGTTTAAAAATTTAACTTGGTGATTATGAAAAAAAAAAAATCATAAAAAAAAAAAACCTTTAAAACATGAGGTTTGGCATGCAATATTCTCCTAGAAAACACAAAAGGTTTTTATATAGTATGTTAGACAAATAGATCAATATATCGTAAGTAGAAATGCACCGATTACAATTTTCTAGGCCGATACCGATTTTCATTGAGTTAGACCTGCCGATTTTTAGATACCGATTTTAGCCGATTCCGATTTTTTTTTTCCAACCACTTTTTCATTTTCAATAACACAAATATTTATTTTCTCTCTCTCTCTCTCTTTTTTTTTTTATAAAACACCATATACTTTTACTCAAGCTCAATAATAAAAACAAGTTTAAATGGGTACATTTTCTTTTCTGACAGTCTTCTCCAGTTCTTGTTAAAACACACGACATGCAAATTCTGTGCATTTTGGGCACTTTTAAATCCTTTTTTTTATCATCAAAAGTGTGCTTTCACTTTGAGCGTCAGCAGCGCAGCAAAAACACTCCTGCACGTGCTGCTCCTGCTTCCGGTGTGAATGCACTCATCGATTAATATGCAAGCTGAAAGAAATATGCGCCGCTGCACACCTGCAGTGTAAATAAGTGGTGAAACGGCCGTAATTCACAAGGTTTCCTACATGTGTGTTCCTTGTGCACATGCGATACTGATGTTGCGCTAGGGTTGCGCGGTATACCGGTATTGCAAAAATACCGGTATATAATAAATTTCAAACGGTACAATATCATCATTTTGTTAAATTCGGTATTTGATGAGCTGCTGTTCCGAAGTTCTCCACTAGGCGGCAGTGTGCTACCGAAACTGACGCGCGTCACGCGAAACCGGCAAACGAAGGAACACGGTGGAAATGAAGCTCATTCAGATTTCCACACGCCCGAAATTAATAAATAGAAAGAGCAGTATGAGTGAAATAAGGCATTACTTTGCCTACTAAATTAATGAGAATAATGTAGAAACAGACCTCAATGCACCACTCTGAAAACTTTGCTTTAAATAATGTGTTGCCATGGAATGCAACACATCAAATCTGCCAAAGTGCTCGTCAGTTGCTCATCCTGACTTGTTCAAGAGATCAACTGGTGAGTTCATCACTCAACTGATTTAATTTAGACTTATTGAACACCGAACAGCGCACATACATAAGAGCTTATCAATTAAATATGATACGGTAAACACGAAAGCTCAAATCTTCTTGCATGACACGCTAAAACCAATTCAGTTATCGTCTCATGATCTCATCATTTTTGCAGTTTCAAACAAATATATTCATTTAATTAGAATTAATAAAGCATAAAAGTGATAGTAAAATGAATGGCATTACTGCCGCTGTGGCGACCCATAGAGAGAGAGATGGTAGTAATATAAATATTAATAATATTAGCCTACAATTAAGCTACATTTGTCAACATTCACTAAGGAACCTGACCTAACAATATAGCATTGATTAATCTAGATCAATCAGTAATAAAATGACCTAAAAATGTAATATCCTAATAAATGTTTAGCATCATAACATTACTTTTTGCAATGCATTATATGCATAATATGAACCCAAACACAAACAGTAACCAAACCAAGATGAATAAATGCAATAAATGTTGATAATTCTCTGTTGATGCATGACAGCTAATGGTTTACGTCATTTCATTATTCTATTATGTTAATCTATTATTATAGATATTAACCTATTTTAATTGTATAATATCATTTTTTTTTCCCAAATCAAAATTTTACCTACACATAATTTGTTTATTTTTTAAATTTTGATGGTTTTTTTGATACTTTTCTTTGCACATATGGTAGTTCAGAGTTTCAAGCAGTGTTTACTAAAATTGTTTCAATTCACTTAAATGTAGACTTTTTTTTCCGACTGCGGTATCGATTTAGTATCGATAGCGAGGTATTAGGTTCTGCTATCGTATCGAAGCCAAAATTGTGGTATCAAGCCATCCCTATGTTGCGCAACGTTAATCATGCGGCACCTGAGTGCATTTGACCGGCATATGTCAGACTGACCGGCTGGTCACCGGTCATGGCCGATCACGTGAAAATCAGCCATTTCCGTTTGCGCGCCGTCAATCTCTAATCGTTAGAGCCGGTGCATCTCTAATCGTTAGAGCTAGAATATCATAGCCTAAAAAGCAAGAACATGGTTATGAAGACAAGACTGACCTCCAATTTTTCAGCCATCATGCCACCCCCTCCTCCTGCACTCAGTCTCATCTGCATGAGGTCGTTTATTGCATTCTGGTCACCTAGAGAACAAACATCTGGGAATGAAGGCTCAGTTTTGGAAAAAGTAGTCAAAGTATATTTGTTTGTATGTTTTAGTATATTTGGATGAATGTGTGAGCGTTTCCAAAGTCCATCTAAGTAAAGTCAGTTCACTCAGTGGCCATATTAGCAAGTTTCCTGAGAAACTATATCCAGTCATGTAGGTAGTGAAATTATCTACATGCATTTATATTTGACACACTTTTGCAAAGGAAAAAGAAAAAAAAATGGGTACACATTTTGTCAGTTCTTTCCTGGAAATAGATCCCTTAAATCTACTGTGCAGGTCTCATTGGCAATGCTAGGAGGATACTTGAGGTATTAAAATATGCAGAAATAACATTTCAAATCAGGAATATAATCTGACAACAATGTTTTTGTAAATTGTGCTTTTTAAGCTTAATTCACAGAACCTTTTTCAGGCTTGTATAACATGTCCATATACACTCACCGGCCACTTTATTAGGTACACCTGTCCAACTGCTCGTTAACACTTAATTTCTAAGCAGCCAATCACATGGCGGCAACTCAGTGCATTTAGGCATGTAGACATGGTCAAGACAATCTCCTGCAGTTCAAACCGAGCATCAGTATGGGGAAGAAAGGTGATTTGAGTGACTTTGAACGTGGCATGATTGTTGGTGCCAGAAGGGCTGGTCTGAGTATTTCAGAAACTGCTAATCTACTGGGATTTTCACGCACAACCATCTCTAGGGTTTACAGAGAATGGTCCGAAAAAGAAAAAAAGATCCAGTGAGCGGCAGTTCTGTGGGCGGAAATGCCTTGTTGATGCCAGAGGTCAGAGGAGAATGGCCAGACTGGTTTGAGCTGATAGAAGGGCAACAGTGACTCAAATAACCACCCGTTACAACCAAGGTGGGCAGAAGAGCATCTCTGAACGCACAGTACGTCGAACTTTGAGGCAGATGGGCTACAGCAGCAGAAGACCACACCGGGTGCCACTCCTTTCAGCTAAGAACAGGAAACTGAGGCTACAATTTGCACAAGCTCATCGAAATTGGACAATAGAAGATTAGAAAAACGTTGCCTGGTCTGATGAGTCTCGATTTCTGCTGCGACATTCGGATGTTTGGCGTCTACAACATGAAAGCATGGATCCATCCTGCCTTGTATCAACGGTTCAGGCTGGTGGTGGTGGTGTCATGGTGTGGGGAATATTTTCTTGGCACTCTTTGGGCCCCTTGGTACCAATTGAGCATCGTTGCAACGCCACAGCCTACCTGAGTATTGTTGCTGACCATGTCCATCCCTTTATGACCACAATGTACCCAACTTCTGATGGCTACTTTCAGCAGGATAATGCGCCATGTCATAAAGCTGGAATCATCTCAGACTGGTTTCTTGAACATGACAATGAGTTCGCTGTACTCAAATGGCCTCCACAGTCACCAGATCTCAATCCAATAGAGCATCTTTGGGATGTGGTGGAACGGGAGATTCGCATCATGGATGTGCAGCCGACAAATCTGCGGCAACTGTGTGATGCCATCATGTCAATATGGACCAAACTCCCTGAGGAATGCTTCCAGCACCTTGTTGAATCTATGCCACGAAGAATTGAGGCAGTTCTGAAGGCAAAAGGGGGTCCAACCCGTTACTGCATGGGGTACCTAATAAAGTGGCCGGTGAGTGTACATGCTCAGGAGTAACCATACAGGTGATTGTTTTGAACTAAAGGGCGTATTTTTAATTCATATAGCTAACATACTGAGCACTGCGTTGTCTCAATAAGGCAATTGTCTCTAACTATAAGGTAACAACAGCTGCAACAAAGTGCAATGCTTTCTCTCATTCATGCACATTTGAGTGGCCCATATTAGCCCATTTTTTGAAATGGCCCATTTTTTTAAGCTCTCCTACAATCGGTTTCCATGCACCCTAGGTCAAAATATGCTTACATTTTCTCATAATATACATTGCAGAATGACCTTTTCTAATAGTGTCTGAAAGTGTTCGATAAAGGATTCAAAGGATTCTTTGTAACGATGGCATTGGTTTAACTCGTCCTCGTCTTTTGGAAGAACACTCAAAGTCGATAACGCAGGAAACAGTGTTGAGCATGTTTTTGCAAAGCAGAAAATAGCATTGGTGTTGTCTCGAAATGTCGACAACACATACCAAACTGAGTTAAACGAAACGTCCAAATGTCGACAACACATATCAAACCGAGTTAAACCGGAGATGTTCCTCAGGGCTCATGCCTCGGTCCTGTTTTATTCACATTTTATATGCTCCCCCTTGGATCAATCTGCCAAAAATACAATGCATCTTATCATTGTTATGCTGATGATATACAGTTATATGTGCCCATGAAATGCAGTGTTGACTCCAACACTACTATTATGTCCGAGTGTTTGAATGAGATAAGAGCATGGTTGGCCGACAATTTTCTGCAGCTTAAAGGGTTAGTTCACCCAAAAATGAAAATTAAGTCATTAATTACTCACCCCCATGCTGTACCAACCCCGTAAGACCTTCGTTCGTCTTCGGAACACAAATGAAGATATTTTTGATTAAATTTGAGAGCTGTATAACTACCACATTGGCTCCTAAGGGACTGCCTCTTGACGGCCCAGAAAGTCAATGAAGAAAATGTTTAAATATCCCAAGTGACTACCGTGGCTCAACTATATGTTTATCAAGCGACGCGAATACTTTTTGTGCGGAAAAAACAAACAAAAATAATGAGTTTATTGGACTATTTCTTTTCTTCCTTGTAGGCCAGAACGAGAATTCCTTAGATTTCCACGACGCATGCGCGAGATTTGCGATCTGCTTACACCGCTTACACTACTTCAGATCGCAATTCTCGCGCATGCGTCGTGGAAATCTAAGGAAATCTCGTTTCTGGCCTACAAGGAAGAAAAGAAATAGTCGAATAAACTCGTTATTTTTGTTTGTTTTTTCGCACAAAAAGTATTCGCGTCGCTTGATAAACATATAGTTGAGCCACGGTAGTCACTTGGGATATTTAAACATTTTCTTCATTGACTTTTTGGGCCGTCAAGAGGCAGTCCCTTAGGAGCCAATGTGGTAGTTATACAGCTCTCAAATTTAATCAAAAATATCTTCATTTGTGTTCCGAAGACGAACGAAGGTCTTACGGGGTTGGTACAGCATGGGGGTGAGTAATTAATGACTTAATTTTCATTTTTGGGTGAACTAACCCTTTAATGAGTCAAAATCGGAAGTGCTGATTTTTGGTCCACCTAAGTTAGCAAAACAGCTTAGCCATTAAGGTGAATACCTAAGCAAGGAACCTTGGTGTAGTTTTTGATTCAAAGCTGAAATTTGACAAACAAGTTAATGTTGTGGTTAAAAGTAGCTTTTATCTGCTGCGGAGCATTGCCACATTAAAAAGTATTCTGTGATTCAAGGACATGGAAACTGTCATTCATGCTTTTATTTCATCCAGATTGGATTACTGAAACTCCTTATATTTAGGACTGTCTAGGAACGTGTTATCAAGGCTGCAACTGGTGCAAAATGCAGCAGCCAGACTATTGACTGGCACGCGGAAATGTCTAGGATTTGTCTGGTACTGGCCTCTTTGCACTGGCTTCCAGTTGAATTTAGACTCCAATATAAAGTCAAAGATCTGCATGGACTGGCTCCAAAATATGTAACGCGTCTGATACAAAGACAGCATCACTTTTCTTGTCGTCCACTTAGATCATCCCAGAGCTTCCTCCTACATGTCCCCAAATCAAGGTTAAAAACAAAGGGAGACCGTGCATTTTCTGTGGCAGCCCCGCGACTTTGGAACAATCTTCCTTTGCATATCAGATCCTGTGACTCGCTAGAATGTTTTAACTCGATGTTGAAAAAACACCTATACACTGTGGCCTACAATGGCCCTGAGGTTTCACGATACTGATCAGGGTTGGATATCAACCCATTGTTCTGTGTGAGTACTGTCTGAGTGTTTGAGTAATTTTGGCCAACTTGTGTTGTTTTTAAATGTGCTTAATAAATAAAAGTTGATTGATTGATTGATTGAACTCTTCTAGGCCTCAGTTCCAACTACAGTGTTTAAGGGAAAAACTGCGGGCAGCTAATGAAGACCATTAGGCTGGCATTATGCAAATCTGTTACAAACTTACATGGGTTCGTAGAGGAAGACAGACTGGAATTACCGGTGACTTGTTTCAGGCAGTTCAGAATCATTCTTTTTTTTTTTTTTTTTTAAAGTAAATGACTCCATTTATTGTGATCTTTGAAACATTGTGGACCTTTTTCATTCACAAACAGCTATAAAACACGCTACATTAAAAAGGTGACCTGAAACAGTCTCAGTTTCTCACCGATGTTATATGCACAGTATCGGATGTTAGGTGAAATCTCATCCACTCTCTGATAAAAAAGCACTGCTTGCTCCTCAGTAAAAGCACTTGCCAGTTTCTCGTAGATGGTCCTGCAAACAGTCCAAATAAATAAAACAAAATCTTTCACAAAATAGACAGAATTAATATGCACCAAATATTTTCTACTTTTCTTTTTACAAGAAAAAAAAAGCCTAAATAGCTTTTAAGCCACTGCAGTGTTTCCCATTAATTACCTAAACAGCCCAGCCCAATCGCTTCAGCTGAAAATATTTCTTATAACAAAAAATCTCTATTGTTGTTTTGCACCATTGGTTTGGCAACACATCTGTAAATTGAAATTAAAATATAACATCAAATGGCTCCGCCCACTTCTTAAAACACAAAAGGCAGCAGCGCAACTGGTTTTCAATGAGTCCAAGAGACCCCACGTCCACAAGTTTACATCCCCTACAGAAGCCTGCAGTCGAGAGGCTCATCACTTTCAATAATGTTTTCGTTAATTGTTTCATGGTGGTGTAATGAGGTATCAAACCTTATCCAGAAAGCAAAATCCCTGACAATATTCAAATAACAGATGAAATCTAATCTCTTCCGTCAGTACTTAACTGTATCCTGTGGACTGTTAAGGATTCTTAAGTTAAGACCAATCTTTCTGTTTAAGCTGTTTTCTGTCGATTTGTGTACAAATCGTGTCTATATATAATTTGTAGTGTTATTTTTTGCCTGCCACCCAGCAGAGGTGGAAGTAACGAATTACAACTACTCAGATTACTGTAATTAAGTAGTTTTTTCATGTACTTGTACTTGTACTCGAGTACAAATTAAGTTAATTAAATGTACTTCACTACTTTAAAAATCCCATTAATTACAAAGTACTTGTACAATTTGAATTCGACAATTATTCAAATCTTTGACCAGCATTTGGGTATCCAATGGAAATAACGGAGCGTGGGCGGGCCAATAAAAACCCTTGTATTTGGAGCGGGAAAAAAGCCCGGTTCCTGGAGAGCTATATTCGTCCTCACACGTCCTTCAGTTTATATTTTAGTGTTATCAAAGAACTTTGCCGTAATGAACATTCGAGACACTGAATTCATTGAAAATTCCAAAGAAATACCAGATGACGAGTGCCCATGACCCCACATGGAGGAGTTGTTCTTATACAGAAGGAAAGGAGACGTTTTATAAAAACTTTGTTTCTGCAGTGATATGTGATAGTTCAGTTTTTGTTTTTAAAGTTGGGTAGACCTCACGATAATTTGACTAAAAACATCACTTGAAACATGAGCTTCAGCATTACTCAGGTGACAAGCACATATACCGTAATAAAGATTTAGCATTGTAAACTTAGATTAAAAAGTTATATTGTATGTCATTGTCAACACATTGTTTTATTAATGTTGAATCCGTGTTTTAAGTTTAGAATGAAGAGTTTAATAATGACCCTTTCATAAAAACAGTATCTTGCTGGCCATGACCCACTGGCATAACAGTGTAACTGCACTGATTGACTGTCTGTCTAGATGGCACATTTGTGTCAGTGCTAAATGCTGATAACTTTTGAAACTTTTGAAATATTAGTAGGGTACATTTGGAAATCTTTATTGTAAAAAAAAAAGAAGTTTAAAAATAAAAAAACCCAATAAGCTTATTTATTTTGCATTATAATTCATTAATAATAATAATCATATTAGACCATTTTTATAACTTGGTTTCCATAAAAGTAAATAAATATCACTGGCTAAAAATTAGTAATTAGTACTCGAGTAGTTTTTGAAAGGGGTACTTTGTACTTTTACTTAAGAACATTTTTAACACCAGTACTTTTGCTTGTAATCGAGTATTATTTTAGCAACTACTTGTACTTATACTTGAGTACAAATTTTCAGTACTCTTTCCACCTCTGCCACCCAGTAATCTCAAAGAGCTTTGCTACTTTTTATAAGAAACTAAATCAGCTTTCAAATTCTGTCAGTTTTATCACAAATGTTTTTTGCAGTTTATTGTGATGTGATAAATGTAACCACCTCAGCTCAAGCGACAAGTGAACTGGGGGTGTAATGATTCAGTTTACTGACGCTTTGGTTTATATCAAGGTTTTAGGGTCACATATTTGGCTATGGTTAGAGGGAGGAAAAAAAGACTAATGTCAGATAAATATAAAGAACCAAATATTCAAACTACACAATCAACAGCACAAATAAATACAATAGAGCAAAGATACAAATAAAATAATACTCGCCAAGACGGGCATGCTGACAATTTTTGTGTGAATTTGTTCGTTTAAGCGCAAGACTAGAAAAAGAACTCTAAATATTTGCTCGCTGTCTTGAGACGCGGCTTTCTGTTTCCGCACTTAAATAAATGTGCACACAAATCTTTCTTTCGCCTTCTCTCGTACTTGTTTAAATTAGCCAGGCTTAAATTAGATTAAACACAGATAGCAACGTGTGCCATTGAGGTCATAAGACATATCCATCGACAAACATATTAAAGGATTAGTTCACTTTTCAAAAAACTTTTACTGATAATTAACTCACCCCCATGTCATCCTAGATGTCCATGTCTTTCTTTCTTCAGTCGAAAAGGAATTAAGATTTTTAATGAAAACGCTGCAGGATTTTTCTCCATATAATGGACTTCAGTGGGAACCAGGTCAGTTCAAGTTCCAAAAGAAACTTTAGTACAAACTGCAAACTTGTTCAAATGGCTTTAAACGATACCAGACGAATAAGGGTCTTATCAAGCGAAACGATCGCTCATTTTTTTAAAAAAATAACAATGTTTAAGTTTTAGAAGATCAAAAGCTCACCTTGCTCTGTTCTGTGGTGCACGTTTGTGACTCTCCTGTTCGAACTCGTTCAACAAAAGGAACAAATCTTTTTCCGAATCAATTCGTTCGTTTCTTTCGCCGAATGAACCAAATGACTCGGAAAAAGATTTGTTCATTTTGATGAACGAGTTCAAACAGGAGTGCGTTACAGAACAGAGCAAGGCTTACCTGTTTTTTTCTGTGATGTAATTGCCCATTCACTTGATTGGATGTATGTGATCATGTGACCATGCATGGCTGTATATATGGAGGTGTGTCTCCCCACTTGTTTGTCTGATGAAGGGCTTGTAGCCCGAAACGTTACATGTACACGTAGTGAGCAACCATTAAATTTTTGTAGGAGCATATTCTGGTGTGCAGACTTACTGTTTACTTTTGTTGCTACCTTACTGCCCAGCACCCAGTTTTATTGTTTTGGATGTGCGTGCTACACCTTTTGAACAAGTTAGTACAGAGACTTCAGTCTGTGAAGTGTGAGGTCATTATTTTGCTCTCAAAGTACACTAGACTGGTGTATTTAACTTTCAAAATATTTTAAATGTTATTTCGAGGAAGTATGCCCATGGAAAACCCGTCACGGTTTGAGTTTCACCTATCACAGTCTCAAAAAATCCTGTGGGAAACACTGCACTGGCTATAAAAAGGTGCATTAAGACAGACAATACCTTGTGAAAAAAATGAAAAGGAAAACAATATCAATTACAACCTTGCCAAAAAGTAGACACATTCATACAATACTACCAGTAATGGTGTCTGCAAAGTGCAACAAATGCATAGCAATAAATAAATGAGAATAAAAGAAAGCACTGACTTGCACTTGTTAAAGGCCTCCATTGCAGATTTCCATTCCTGCAGCTCAAACTGAACCATTCCAGTAAGATAAGCAGTATAAGCCTGCGAAAAATATCAAACACACTTACAGTGAAACAGAACTCAATTGACATTATGCACAGCTGCACTACTTCCAGAACTTAAGCCAGCTCCTTGTTTCCTGTCTGAGTTGAGTGTCCGCTGAAGGCATTGATGTCAGAACTCCGAAAACGTCAGATGCATTTTTTCAAATAGGGCGCTATCTTTATAAATAAACTACAGATTTGAGATTTAAACAACCACATTCTCGCCTGAAACACTCTTAAAATTACATTTCATGACACAATAACAGTAGTATTTTGATATTTCGCGGATTTTCTCCTCTCCCATTGACGCTTGCTGGTTGACGCAAGATGCATTCTGGGATACCCGGCTATCTCAAGTCCACACAAGTCACCTCTCGATGCATCCTCGGTAAACGGGGCGGATCAAAAACACATCCAGGGATTTGAAGTGAACTTGGCTAGATGTGAACTTTGAATTGGAACAGTACTTGGGCAGCGACTGATGATGACGTTTCACAAGTCAGTCCACAAGAACACAAGTACAGACAAGTACGCATATTGAGAAACGGCTAAGGAGCTGGCTTAAGTTCAGGAAGTAGTGCAGCTGTGCATGAAGTCAATTAAGTCAACATTGAGATGACCACAGCATTCAGCAACTATTAATAGACAAAAACGTTGCGTAAAATGTCTTTTGATGGTCTCCCTGAAATCACTTTGAGAAAAAATAAAATAATTAGGGCTGGGCAAGTTAACGCATTTATTAATTAATGCCGACAATTTTTTTAACGCACTTTTTTTTTTTTTTTAAGTCCGTTGCTCACTGGCTCTGAATACTACACACAGGCCTATAGTCAAAACATGGATCACAGGAGGGGTGGGATGTTGGTCAGTCAGCACATAACCCACCCAAACAAGCAATGGAGAGAGGCTTTGGCAGGTTCTCTCAGGTAAATAGAAAGGGAGACAGCGCTCCGGGAGACGAGTGAATGACAGGCGCAGATAGTAACCAACGGCTTCTGTGCGCTACGCAGCTGTAGCCTTTTTAACTTAAATTAAAATTATACATAACTTTACCTGATAGGCCTGCGTTTAGTTTAGCGGGGGTGATCTGCCATGTGAATTCCCTTCTGTTGATGTCCTGATAGCTATTTAGATTCTGGAAACTCACAAACAGCGAACCGAGGATCAGTCTCTCTTCCAATGATTTGTGCTGGCTGTGCGTCTTGTACAAAAATAGACAAAAAGTTAAAGTTTATAGACAATTCAACGTCGGCAACGGGCGGGCACTTGCGTGAGGCGAGCTTGACCGCAACAGTTTCACAGGAACGCACCCGCTTGTCGCTGCACCTTGTGCTCGACCACTTCACCTCACTCTAAAAGCTGATTTATACTTCTGCGTCGGACCTACGCCAGAGCCTTTATGTTGGTTTTGGTCAATCACAGCGCTTGCGGTACGCGTATTGACGCGTTGTTACATTTTTGGAGAGGTGCACGTCAGGGTACGCTCGCTACACACAGCCTACGGCGTAAGTTTGATGCAGAAGTATATTGGGCTTTACCTCTGTTTAATGTAGCCTATTTAGTGTACATGGGAAACCATGGCATGACCAAACCTAAGCTCCTATCAGAGAAGTAACGTTGGTCGACTTGGTCATGACCTCTAACTACATTGACTGTTTCTGCTGCTCCCTGATAAATGATACCTGTTGATGCTTGTTCAGAAAAAAAAAAAACAAGAAAACTGGACTCGTTTTAACTGAATAAAAGGTAATCCCCTGTGCCAAATAGCTTTGTTTTAATATTTGATTTGATTACGTTAATGTTTAAGTTGAGATTTACAATAAATATTTTATTGCTACTGTGTAAAGAGAATACTGCTGGTATAAAGCACCTTATTTGTTTAAAGTTTTTGCAAACCACATGTTATTGCACTTTTATGTATATAGCAGTACATTTAAATCAAAAGTGTGCAATACATTACTTTAGAATTCATTATTCAATTTTCCGCGTAACAATGCGATTAATCGCAAGAAATCCATGCGATTAATCGCAATTAAAAAATTTAATCGTTGCCCAGCACTAAAAATAATCAAATGTATCTTTGACCGACCTGAGCCTCAAGTTTGGTCTTTGCGTCCACACGAGGACTTTCACACAGCTTCTCCAGCTTCTCCCCATGTTTGGCGGCCTTTCGCAGGCGAGCCAACAGGTGAAAACGCTTTCGGGGCTCAGTGTTAGCTTCCTGTTTCAGCTGCATGGCATAACTCCATGCTCTTTCCGCTTCCATTAGCACTAACAAGAGATGTCTGGAGTAGACAGATAGAGATAAGGAGAGGAAGAGAGACTAAGACCAAAGACAATAAAAAATCTTGCTTTAAGTGCACATTTTTGTATGTGTTAAGTTACCTGTTGTCTGAAAGCATCTCTACAGTCACTTTCTTTCCAGTAAACTTGTGTCTATTGCCCATTTTAAAGCCCAGAGTCTTTCTCAATCGACGCAGTCGTCGAGAGCAATAACCCCTTTAATGTCAGAGGAGAGGATCAACAAAATTTCAAGACAATTTCTTTATTTAACTGAAAAAAGTGTCCTTGCTACCTCCCCTCTGACTTACCTGTAGCGCTGGTAATCTCCATGCCTGAGTCCATGCTGTTGCTGAGAGTCCTTAATGATCTGCAGAACTTAAGTCAGTGCTAAGGACAATAAACCCAGGACAAATCAAATACAGCATGTTAAGCTTTTAAAGTACTAACTTACCAAGAGTGTACTCAGTAGGCTATATTATCTCTCAGAAAAGGGCTCAATTTGGCTTTTCATCCACCAAGTCATTACCCACTAACGTTACTTCAATCAACACTCATAAATATTTATGGAAACCTTATTGAATCTCTTCATTATACAGAAAATACTTTTCTACTCAGTAACGTTACTTCTGAAATCAAGTGACACGTATCCCATAAGACCCCCCATAGCAGCCGTCCTCCACTAAACTGCTGCTTTAATGCTACTCTCCAGCACTAACTAACTGACGCAGTGAGTTTAACATTGAGGATACTCTCCAGGCCAAGACTTCCGTCGATGCTGTTCTCTTTATTTTCCTCCATTGTCGATATTTTCACCTCATGATTCTGCCTCTCCGCGGCCATTTTTCAGCAAGCACACGTCTGATAAACCTCAACCAGCGGATGAAGATGATCCGTCTTCTTCTGTCTTGTGTTGTGTCACAAACAAAATACCATTACCGCCACCTACTGAGCTGTAGCACGAAATCGAATCAAATAAACTTCTTCTTCTTCTATGGATTTATTGGCGTTTTTTTTATGCTTTATTGTGAACATCAAGTAGCATGTACATTGTAATTTCTCATCCAACATATTTCACATGCCTCATTTATTGGCGGGTTGCATACCAACTTTATGGTGCATACCGCCACCACCTGTGCTGGAGTGTGAAGTGATTTCAGTCTAGAAGTATGTTAAAAGATGATTCTAGTCCTAAATCCTAAATCTAGTCCTTATGACAATGGGTTTCAGAACAGGTCAGGGGATCTCTGGATAATCCGTAATTCGTTTGTAATTATAAAACGAAAATACCGTTTTTCTGTTTTTTGTTTCAAATAGAAAAACCAAATAACCGTTTTTGGTGTCAGAATCAAAAAACGAAAAACCAATTAAAAACTGCCCATTTTTCGTTTTTTGGCGATAATTTATCGTTATTCATTTTTGAACAAAGAATGAATTGAGTCTTGAACTTCTGTCAATTTTTTTTCGTTTATAAACCAAAAACGGAAGTCACGTGGTCCATTCCTTATTTGGAAGCGAATGTACCCGGAAACACTTTCAAAATAAAAGTAACTACAGTTAGCGAGGTGATGGTAGACTAAAACTGAACTAATATAACATTTTTTAGTACAACTAAAGTAGCACTGGGTGTGAATAAGACTTTAGTTAACTGAAATAAAAATAAAAACAAATAAAATAATAACTCTGGCTGTTAGGGAGAATTAAACATTTGTAAGACCATTGGTGAATAGGGCCTACAGCTATGTATGCTATGAGCAGGGCTCTGCATTGCAACTCTTTCAATAGCATATATGGCCTAACATGTTTTACAAGCATAGTGGGTGAGTGAAGACTAAAACCTACTGTAAATGTTATAAGGTTATATTATACTTTTATACATTTATAGTCCTTGTCCAGGTTGTGGTTATTAGCCTCTGCAGTGGACAGCTGTAGATTTAGCCAGAGCCAGGATGTCACTGTGCAAAAACATAATTTATAAAATATATATTTCATAAATCATATTTTTTTTAATAAAAAACTGAACTTCACCTGCCTTCCAGCTCCCCTTTCTATCGCTATTCTATAGCTATACTATAGCTGCTAAAAACTCTCAGCTTCCACCATCTACTGTTACCCCTTCTGTGTCAAAACAAAACTCTTCCAAAACAAATCTAGAAAGTTTTAAAACTTTTTATTTTTCCTTTGCATTTTTCTCCAGTGTAATATTATTATGTTAGTTAAGTAGATTATATATTTTTAACCCTTGTGCATCAATTATATAGAGGACAAAAATGTCTGTGTCAAAAAACTGTCATACAAATGTGAAGCTTGGAGCTCAGACTTAAGTTGGTATCATTTTAAAGAAGACCCATGGCAGATTATTGCTGAAGTAAACTAAAGCTTAATTAAAATAATAAGTGAAGAGTTCAGATGCAAAAGCCTCTAAGTGCCATTTGAAATTTTCTTCTAAAATTATCATTTTTATCAAGCCTGTATATTTAAGTTCAGTAATTTTACTTAAGTGGAAATAAAGATTTAAGTGAAATTACTGAACTTAAATATACAGGCTTGATAAAAATGATAATTTTAGAAGAAAATTTCAAATGGCACTTAGAGGCTTTTGCATCTGAACTCTTCAAGTAGTAAATCCAAAAAAAAAGTTATATAGGTATAAGTTTATAAAAATTATTTATAAAAACAATATGATTTATAAAATATATATTTTATAAATCAGGTTGAACTCTAAAACTGCAAGAAAATCAAAGCCATGAATCTGAATAGGTTGTGTTCCAAATTTGAGATAGGCCTATCTCAAAAAAAAATGAGCTTTCGGTAAGAGTTTGTTTGGGTGCAGTAACAGATTTTCCCCATTGGGTGCCAGCAAAACTCCACTGGTGCACACAGTAATTGGATTTTAGATTTGCAAATTTGAGTTTTTCTCTCTCAAATATTACAAGTACACAAACACATATACACACAAAAAAATGTATTACACACATACAAACCACACTCTGACATCCACCCACACAATTATCGTTAATAAGCAGAAAACAGGAATAAAGCAGCATTTGTTTTATAGGCTAAACCTGGACAACTGGCACCATCTGGTAAAAAAAAAAAATTGTAAAAATAAAAATTTTGGAGCCTTGCCAACAGAATAAAAGCCTCTTAACAAAGATTGCATCATTTTATAATTAAATGACCCTGGGATTAAAAATTGCGGTTTCAATGGGTTTCAATGGGAACATTTTTGTCCAAGAGGCGCTGATAGGGAGTATTTTGTGTACCTAATGCAAATTTATTACTATTTTTTTTTTTAAGAAAATGGTGGGGAAATTGTAAAATTCCATAAAAAATACACACCTGTGCCAAATTAGCATTAACACAGGTAAAGTGATTAAAAAAAACTGAAAAGGACAAAAATGTCCATAAGGATGCACAAGGGTTAATGCAGCTTGTAGTTCTCATTAGTTATGTAGACCTACTTATGTGTGAAACCCAGCATTACTCGGTCAAAAATGAGCTGGGACTTTCAGATCTTTTAGCGCTTTTTGGGGGTTTAATTCTGTTTGGTGAACCACCGGGTAAAGGCAGTGCTCTGTACTTTTGGTACTTGTGTAAAGTAAAATAAAAGTGTTTAGTTTTTTACTTTTAGTTTTTTAGCTTTTAGTTTTTCTCCCTGGTACTCGTGTCAGGGCCTCCCAGAGTTTCCCCAATACCTTCCTGGAGGATATGAGCCTGTGCACTGTGTGCAGGGTTAAGGACTGATGATAGTAGCAGGACTGGCCCCTTCACCTACCGTCACTCTCTCTTCAAATAAATGCTGGACAGGCAGGACAAAGTAGAACACCACTCCTTCCTCTGGCACCATAAAGGGGCCTTGTTGTCACTTTCAGATATGTATGGTTTATGTTAAGCCACATCTTTGTGGATTTTGTGGCACTACTTTTGTGGAATTGGATGATGTCAGCTTATGACTTTAATTACAAATGTACATCATATTGTACAACGGTACAGCTGAAGCGTGGCTCTGCATTGCAATTTGCAACTCTTTCACTTGCACACACAACCAACACCACACTTTATGTAAAAAAGATTGGAGAGCATTATTTATTATCTTTAACTTCAGTAAAGCAGATGTAAAACACTACAAGGGGAATGTGTTGCTCTCAGGAGTTGAATTGCCTTTTATTGTCATTGCCTATAACAACGAAATTTAAATTGCACTTCCCATGGTGGTAACACATAATATGACAAAAAAACAAAAAAGAACAAACATCAGTACACACAGTACATAAATACATAAAATATAGATAAAAGATAAAAGCTCAAATATAATCATTAAAAATGCAGAGCAATCTAGGTGCTCATGAGTTCAGGTATTTTATAGCATTTGGATAAAAACTGTTCAAAAGTCTTGAGGTGCGACCCCGGAGAGATCTGTAGCGCCTTCCAGATGGCAGCAAAATAAAGAGGCCTCGACCTGGATGGGAACAGTCCTGGATTATATTTTTTGCCCACTGCCTGCATCTGGTTTGATATATGTCCACAAGTGAGGGGAGCTGTGTGTGAATAATATTTTGTGCTGATTTCCTAACTCTATCCAGCGATTTTTTTTCAGCAGCAGTGCAGCTACCAAACCACACCAGAATATCATGTGAGATAATGCTTTGGACAGAACAGTTGTAAAATGATAAAAGTAATTTCTGGGAGAGGTTAATTTTATTGAGTGACCTGAGAAAGTACAGTCGCTGCTGAGCTTTCTTCACAAGAGCTGTAGTGTTGGTTTTCCAAGTAATGTCCTGTGAAATGTATGTCCCAAGGAATTTGAAGTCTTCAACCCTCTCCACCATTTCTCCATTAATGTAGACGGGGGCAAGGTCAGACTTCTTCCTGCGGAAGTCTACCACCACCTCTTTGGTCTTAGAGGCGTTGAGAGACAGGTTGTTGGTGGAGCACCAGACAGAAAGTTTTTGGATTTCATCTCTGTATGCGGACTCATCATTGTTGTGAATAAGTCCAACTACAGTGGTGTCATCTGCAAATTTGATAATAGTATTGCTTTCATGGACTGGGGTGCAGTCATGAGTGTATAAAATGTAAAGTAGGGGGCTCAACACACAACCCTGAGGTGCCCCAGTGCTGAGTGTGAGAACGGAGGAAAGTTGCGAGCCCAGACGAACTGACTGGGGACGATCCGTAAGAAAGTCATTGATCCATCTGCAGATGTTTGTGCTGATGCCCAGTCCATGTAACTTGGACACCAGTCTTCCAGGAATGATGCAATTAAACACAGAACTAAAGTCCACAAACAACAGTCTTGCATAGGTGCCAGGGTGTTCCAGGTGGGTCAGCACACAGTGCAGGGCTGTGTTGATGGCATCAGCGGTTGACCTGTTTGCTTTATAGGCAAACTGGTGCCGGTCCAGTGTGTGAGGAAGGGAGGATGTTATATATTTCAACAGCAGTCTTTCAAAGCACTTCATAACAGTGGAAGTGAGAGCCTGAGAGGAGGAGGCTGTTTTTGCACAGTGACATCCTGGCTCTGGCTAAATCTACATCTGTCCACTGCAGAGGCTAATAACCACAACCTGGAAGAGGAACTATATAAATGTATCAAAGTATAATATAACCTTATAACATTTACAGTAGGTTTTAGTCTTCACTCACCCACTATGCTTGTAAAACATGTTAGGCCATATATGCTATTGAAAGAGTTGCAATGCAGAGCCCTGCTCATAGCATACATAGCTGTAGGCCCTATTCACCAATGGTCTTACAAATGTTTAATTATCCCTAACAACCAGAGCTATTATTTTATTAATTTTCATTTTTATTTTAGTTAACTAAAGTGTTTTTCACACCCAGTGCTACTTTAGTTGTACTAAAAAAAGTTATATTAGTTCAGTTTTAGTCTACCATCACCTCGCTAACTATAGTTACTTTTATTTTGAAA